TTAAATCATTTTTAGGCAGGCCTGTATCGCTATGAACTTCCCTCTCAGGACTGCCTTCACTGTGTCCCATCAGTTTTAGATTATTGTGAGTTCATTTTCATTTGTTTCCAGAATCTTTTTGATTCCTTTCTGAATCTCATCCTTGACTCATTCATTGTTTAATAGCACGCTACTCTATGTCCATGAGTTTGAGTGTTTTGGGATTTTTTTCCTTTGAGGTTGGTTTCTACTTCCAGTCCCTTGTGGTTGGAGTAAATCCTTCATATGATTTTAATTTTCTTGAATTTGTTGAGGCTTGTTTGGTGTCCTGTCATGTGGTCTATCTTTGAAAATATACCATGTGCATTTGAAAAGAATGCATATTTTGCTTCTTTGAGAGGAAAAGCTATATATATATATATATATATATATATATATATATATATATATATATATCAGTAAAGTTCACATCATCTAGGCCTTTATTCAATGCCACTATATCTTTGTTGATATTTTGCATGGGAGAATATTTATTTTTGACAGTGGGGTGTTAAAATTTCCTACTATAATTGTGTTGCTGTCAATATCTTTCTTGAAGTCCTCTAAGACTTTCTTTATATATTTGGGTGCTCCTATGTTGGGTGCATATATATTTATAATGTTTATGTCTTCTTGATGGATTCTTCCCTTGAGTATTATGAAGTGACCTTCTGCATCTCCTTTTATGGCTCTTTTTTTTTTAAGTCTATTTTGTCTGATATGAGTATTGCTACCCCAGCTTCTTTTCCCTGTCCATTTGCTTGGAATATTTGTTTCCAGCCCTTCACTTCAGTCTATGTATGTCCTGTGTTCTGAGGTGGGTGTCTTGTAGACAGTATATGTGTGTGTCATGATTTTTTATCCATTTAACTATTCTCTGTTTTTTGATTGGGGCATTTAATCTATTTTGTTTAAGGTTGTTATTGATAGGTACTTATTTATTGCCGTTTTTTCATACCTGTCCTCCTCTGTCTGTCACTGTTTTCCTGCCTGGAAAACAAAGCAGACTTTGTAGCATCTCTTGCAGAGCTGGTTTGGAGAAGGTATGTTCTTTGAGGCTTCTTTTGTCTGGGAAGCTTCTTATTTGGCCTTCCATTTAAATTGAGCGCTTTGCTAGAAAAAGTAGTCTCGGTTGCAGACCCTTGGTTTTCATTACTTGGAATATTTCTTGCCATTCTCTTCTTGCTTGAAGCTTTCCAGAAGTCAGTTGCTAGTCTTATCAGGGCTCCCTTGTATGTTACTTCCTGTTTCTTTATTGCTGCCTTTCAGATTCTCTTTCTGTCTTGAGATTTTTTCATTTTAATTATGATATGTCTTGAAGTGGGCCTCTTTGGGTTCATCTTGACTGGGATTCTCTGTGTTTCCTGGATTTGTGTGACTTTTTCTCTCATCAAATCAGGGAAGTTTTCCAGCATTGCTTTTCTGAACAGGTTTTCTATCCTTTGCTTTTCTTCTTCTCCTTCTGGTATCCCTATTATAGGGATATCATTATTTTTCATGTTGTCTTACATTTCCTTTAACCCCTCCTCATTCTTTCTGAGTCTCTTTTCCTTTTCTTGCTTTTTCTGGGTGCTTTTTTCTACCTTATCCTCCAGCTTGCTGATCAGATCCTCTGCTTCACTGAACCTGCTTTAGATTGCTTCTACTGTGTTCTTCATTTTGGAAATTGTATTCTTCATTTCCTCTTGGTCCTTGTTGATAGTTTCCATTTTCTTTGTCATGTTACTATAGTTTGCAGTGAGTTCATTGTAATTTCTCTATAGTTTTTGATAATTCTCTGTGAGCTTCTTGAGCTTCCTGATAACCATTCCTTTGAGGTCAATATCAGATAGTTGAGTTGCCTCTATTTTATTTCACATTCTTTCTGAGGCTTCCTCCTTTTCTTTCTTTTGTGATTGTTTCTTTGTTTTCTCATTGTTTGTGAGACTCTTCTTTTAGCCTCTCCTTCTTAAATTGATCTGTTCTGAGTCCTCGGGTTTCTGGTGTAAATTTCCGTGGTAGAAGACCTGTGAGATTCAGCAGTGCAGTCTCCTTGATCTCCTGAGCTTTTGGTGTTGGGCTGTTCTTTATGTTGGCTCTCTGTATATCTTTGCATTTTGATTGTTGTTGGGTGTGTCTTTGATGGGTCCCTCCCTCCAACTGGTGAACTGAGGGTCACTCCATCCACCACATTTTGTATTCTGTTTTGCAGGTGTGGACAGGTTGTGTTGAAACTGGTTCTTCTCTGTGTACAAGGTTTTGAGGCCTCTCTCTCGCTCTTGTTCAGTTGTTTGTTCTGGGGAATTTCTCCACCATTTAGTTGTATTTCCACATAGGTTCTGGGTTGAGGTTAGTGTGTCTTCTACTCTCTCCTTCACTTTCTTTCATTGTTATCTGTTGGTGATTCTTTTGTTGGTGTGTTTGTTCTTCCAGCAGGTATCCTGGTGTTCATATCTCCAGCCTACTCTTTTTTGTGGTCAGTTGGAGTGGGCAGGCAAAATGGTTTAAGACAGTGGAGTGTATTGTATGGTATTTAAACTACCAACCCATAGAGAACATATAGGAGATCGTTTCGATATGTATACTGTTAACCATGAAATTTCCCCCAATTAGCCACTTTTTAGAAAGGATGGAAAAATATGAGACTCTTGTTAGTGGGTGAGGGGAGAATTGTGAGCTGGATCTAGAATTCAGTGAGCTTGTGGAAGGTCAGATTATGAGGTAAAGTGAGAGTAAAGATAGATAATAGGTGTAGTGTGTGAGAGAAAATAGTTAGCCACTACGGTAATAGAATTGAGGTAACTATGAAGTGGGTTAAGATCCAGGAGGGTTGCTGTGTAGTATTTACAATTGTATGGAACAGCAGTTATTTACAATAGTAATGGAGCAACAATCCTATGACAGAATCAATGTGATCTGGATAACAAAAATAGAAACTACAAGACCTAGAGTAGTGTGCTATTAAAACACAAGTGAAGTGAAGCAAAAATAATTTAAAATACTCTATGAAAGAGAAAACAAGGCAGACCAGTCAAACCATGCAATTAAAAAGACCAAGTGAAGCAAACTAAACAGAAATAAGAGATATTAAAAATACTAATAAAACATGAATATATCAGAAAAATTATAATGCAAATATACAATAACTTGCAACTTTTCTGGAGCAGCACAGTCAAATTTGTCTCACTGTCTCAGATGTTTCCATGTCCCCTCTTTCAGTCTAACTCTGGTTCTTTCACAGATCCAAGTTTTATCATCTCACTTGTCAGAATAAAAAAAAAGGAAAGGAGGAAGGAGGAAGGAAGGGAGGAATGAAGGAAGGGAGGAAGGAAGGAAGGAAGGAAGGAAGGAAGAAAGGAACCAAGGAAAGAAGGAAGGAAAGAAGAAAAAAGGAAGAAAGGAACAATTCTGAAGAAGAAAGGAGAAGGAATTTTTTTTAAAAAGCCTCCTGCTGGCTTTAAACAAGCCAAGCCAGGTCTGCTGGTATTCCTGGCTGCATCAGGTTGAGAGGGAATTGGTTTCCTTTTTCTCCCTTCCCGTGGTTTTGCAGGGATGGGGGCCAGTCCTGAGCCACGTTCTGCAGTTGTCCAGCTCCAGCCCAGTTCCTCAGTTCACTGCCAGGGCCCCCAGTTCCCCTCTGAGCCTGGCTTATGCCTTAAGTCCACCAGTTGTGCTGTCCCTGAGGTGTATCAATTAGGGGCACCTCACATACCACCTTCTCACTCTTTGCTTTCTAAATGCTAGGGACTCTCAGAAACTCCCCACACTAGATTAAGTCTCTCTGGGGATAGCTGACTCCCTGAGTCCTGCTGCTCCCCTCTGCAAAGGTGTCTCCACCTTCCTCTTAGAGCCAGTCAACCCTTCAGGGTGGAGGCTCTGGCCATGGCTGCCATTGAGGATGCTGGTACAGGGTGATGGGGTGGGGCACAAGGTGCCTCTGGGCAGCAGGGTGAGCCACGCTCATTCCTGGGCTTCAAGCATGAGGTCTCAGCCTCTACTGCTCCAGTGGGATTGCTGGTGGTGGTGTTGGACACATGCCAGCCTCCAATACTAATATGGCAGCTGCAATGGCATGGGGGGTGGCTGGGTTGGTGGTGCACCACTGGGCTCACAGACTCAGCTGGGTGCCATTCACCACTGCAGCTGGGGCTAGGAATATAGTTGGCATCCTGATAGCAGAGGTGGGCCCACAGGTGAGGCTGCAGAGGCCACAGGGGTACAGCCTGGGGAGTCGCTAGCTGCTGCTGTGGGATAATTCCCTAAGTAGGCACTGAGTGCATCTTTTCTTCTTTTCTTTTGGAATAATTCCTCCTATTCAACTCTGCCACTCTAAACAAGCACCTGGCCTCCCACACAGCCCAACTCTCCAACCAGACTGAGGACTATCTGAGTCAGGGGCCATCACAGACCAACTCTTCCCTGCCGCCGTCCACAGTTTCGGTGGGTGCACACTGCCTCTGTGTGTTTGCCGCTTCGTCCCTATTCCCCCTAGTGACTTAAAGCACCCAGGTCCATCCTGGTGCTGCTCAAACCTTGTTTAGTCGGGGAGGAGGATATTGACTGACTCTCTCCAAAGAATCCAGCATCAGACCCAATGGGTGCCAGGTCTGGGCCTGCAGTTGCCTTGTTCCCCGAGCTGGTACCAGAAACTTTAACACCCAAAACACTCTCCTTAGCATCTGTTTTTTCAATGTCCTCTATAGATTAGCCTCCAATCTTCCTCTCTGCTGGCATACCACTGGCTGTTCAGTCTGCTCCTCAGAAGATCAGCTAGGTTTTCCATCTGTGCACAGGGGAAGTGGACTCTGCTCCCACCTAACTCACCACCATCTTCCCTCCTTGTTCATATCACTTCTAAAGGACTGAGGGTCCCAAGGGCAAGAAGACAGAAGCAGTGAATGCCTCAGTGCCACCTGTCCCCATTGTTTACAGAAACTCCCACCTAGAACCCCAAGGACAGAGGCCTCTCAATACCCTAGTCTTTTCTCTATCTTCTCCTTCAGGAACTCCCAGTCCTACCTCCAGACCATTGAGGATGTGAAAAAACTCTTTTTTTCTCGAGTGAGAAGTTTCTTCTACCAGAATGACATCATCTATGGGCTGACTCCTGAGGGCCGCTGGAACCACAGGGCCTGCCAGCTCGCCCATCAGCACACAGGTTAGATTCACCTCCTGGGCTGCTCCTGTCCCTCATCAGGCACATCCCAAAGGGACTGGCCCTGACCCTCAGAAAGTGCCCACTGGTGCTCTTCAGGAAATGCAAATACCCACACTGGGTACTCTCCTGGTGCAGGGCTTGGGAGCCAAGGTGTTAGGGTGCCAGGGCTTGTGCTGGGATTGACCCATATCACCATACTGGTGATGTCACCCCCTGCAAGTGGCATTCAAGCAGACCCTACTCCATGGGTGTGCTGTTGAGCAGAGGCCTGACTTCCAATCAGGTGGTGATGGACCTCTCCCACCTGATGTGTACCCCCACTCCCACACTCATTCTGACTCATGGCACCCAGACTAGAACAGGGCAAGGGCATGTGGGTCTTCTGTTAGCTGCTCCTTCTGGACGTCTAAAGCCCTGAGCCCTGCCCGGGGACCACTGTTCTGTGACAGAGCGAGTGATCAAGTTGAGGAAGGCACATCTGCAAGAGGAGGGAGAAATGGAGGAGGTCAGAAGAAAGAGGCACTTGGACTTCCTGGACATTCTCCTCTTTGCCAGAGTGAGTGTTTGTAGGAGGGGCCAGAGGCTTCACCCAAAGGGCATAAGAAGGAACTAACCCTGCACTCTCGCCGTGCCTTCCCAGATGGAGAATGGGAGCTGCTTGCCTGACAAGGACATCCATGCCGAGGTGGACACATTCATGTTTGAGGGCCATGACACCACAGCCAGTGGCATCTCCTGGATCCTCTACTCTCTGGCTGCACACCCCGAGCATCAGCACAGGTGCCGCAAGATCCAGAGCCTCCTGGGACATGGCACCTCCATCACCTGGTGAGCACTCGAGAGATGAGAGAGCCCTACTCACTCAGCTAGACAAGATGCCCAGGTCTGCCTGGGTCCTGCCTGCCCTCAGATTGGGCTGCCTTTATTTCAGGGATCAGCTGGATCAGATGCCCTATACCTCCATGTGCATCAAGGAGGCACTGCGACTCTATCCACCTGTACCATTTATTGGAAGAGAGCTCAGCAAGCCAATCACCTTCCCTGATGGACGCTCCTTACCCAGAGGTCTGAACTTCACCACATTCACTAACCTGGGTACTATGCACCAACACATAGCAAATGAGGTCCTGACCTATCTGGTCTTGCTTCTTCATCATTACATATAAATTTCCTTTATAGATTATATTAGGAATATAAAATGCTTGTCACACGGTGTGACCAAACTACCAGTCCCACTTTCTAATCATAGAGAATGAATCACATTGGTACATTTACCTCAATGGGTTCCACCTCAATTCTGACATCTCACATGAATTGAATCCCAAGCTGCTATCATTCTCGAGTCTAGCATCCTATCGCATTTAGAATCCATGGTTTGATGATGCCACAGTAATTCCATTTGATGGCACTAATGTTCTATGATTCCAACACTCCATTCTCCAGTCCCAGCTCCAAGTTGTAACACTCTGAGGCAATTTTGTCTGCGTTCTCATGTCTAGTTGAATATCCTCTGTATTTGATGTAATGTGTGCATAATTCCTCTGTGACAAATGCATATCATTCTAGACATACCAGATAATAGAAGAATGACTCAGTCCATGGCATTTTCTTCACAATGAGATGTTGGACTCTAAATGCAACTTCCAGAATTTCACTCTAAAACTCTTTTTTGCAGTGTGAGATTTGCCTCAACAACCAGACATGGGGAAGGGGTACATGTGGTTTCTTTCCTCTGGGGTCTAGGCTGAGGAGGAAGACCAGCAAATCCACTGCCATGAGTCAGGTGGTCCAGTCTCCCAGGAGCCCTCATGTTGGTGGCAGAGAGCAGATGTTGATCAGATCTGAGATCCTGTCATGGTGGAGGCCACCTCAAGGTTCAACTTTAGTCTGAATCCCAACCCTGACACATCCTAACTATGACCATAGGCAATGTGCTCGGCCTCTCTAAGCTCAGGTGCCTTATCTGAACAATGGGAACAAGAGTGCCCTCCTTGGAGAGATGTAATGAAGACTGAATGATTTAATGGATAATCCCCAAAGGCCCATTAAGGGCACCTAAGAAATGTGAGATTTATCTTGAGTTGCTCCAGAAAGTAAGCCTTCAGTTCTGTCTGGCTTCTCAGTCGTGGGACATGGTTATGTACTCTTAGTGTGTGCATGTGAGCTTTGCCAAATCCACCCATTGGTATTGCAATAGGATCATTCTACTCTGACACTCACTACAGCTCCCAAGTTTTGGGGAACTCACTGGTTTTCTGCTGCCATGTGTATGATCAGTCTTCTTTGTTCTCCCTGCCATATAGGAATCAAAATCACCCTTTTTTTGTATGGTCTTCACCACAATCCGAAGGTGTGGCCCAATCCAGAGGTAGGATGGCTGTGGGAGGAAGGTTGGCTTGATTTCTCTAGGCCAACACCTCCTCCTCTTTCCAGCCCCAAGAGTCCTGTGCCCTCTTGCATTGGAAGGAGGGGGCTTGACCCTCCCTGTCCTGACCCTGGTCCTCTCTCTGCAGGTGTTTGACCCTTCCCGTTTTGCACCAGGTTCTGATCTACACAGCCATGCTTTCCTGCCCTTCTCAGGAGGATCCAGGTGAGCCATCATGTACTTGGGGATGGCCCACCACCACATGGGGACCCCGAAGTTTGTGACCTCCTACTTTTATATGTGGTGCCCGAACATATGCCTTTGTATGCTGGTGTGTTGTGAAGGTGGCACTTGTCTATATGCACAGAACAACCATGACATATCAGGCCACCACACACACACTTTACCCACTGACTTTCTCCCAAACACTTGATTGTCCTTAAGTTTATGATTTTTGCCAATGTTGGACTATGTAGACAGTGGAACTATGGTATATAAATCCCATATCATACATAGGATCTTTCCAACTGAACCAAGCTGTTATGCTTATGTGAATATTACTATGCAGTAAAGCCTTTGCTGGGATAGGCAGCAAAAACAGAGAGGCTTGTATTGGTCTCAAACTCTTCAAACAGTTCCTTTCCCGATTTCCCACCCACAATTCAGTGTCAGCTGTTCTTCTAAACTTCAGTTATTCTGGTGTCTTTCTCACTTCAGGAATACAACTTCTCAAATGTAAAATTTTCCATAAAAATTAAGCTTCCACTCACTTTTATTCACTACCAGTACACATAAAACAGAATTTCCCCTCTCTTCTCACAGGGCAGGGCAGCCAATGCCTCACTTACATCACTGATATGCCACTCACTCTATCTGCAATATTTGCTTGTGTTCCAATTTCCAGCCACCTGCCTCTCCTGATGGTTCAAGCCCTGTTCATAAATGGTGCAGAGCGAGGTGTTTTACACCAATGTATGCATTCTTGCTTTTGCAATCTGCCCCCACAAAAGATTAACTGCACATTAACATTCACATAACCAGATTGCTTTTCCAGTTGACAGAATTGTTTATGCAGATGGGATTATTTCCAGAACCCCCACATCTACACTTCCCACTGTTTAGGAAAAAGCATAAAACTAAGAACAACCACTTCTTTTGAGAGCAAACCCACGATTTGGTATATGACACACATTTGAAAGGTTCCTGGTGTGTAAAATATAAAGCATGTTTGAAATAGCTGTTGAGCTGAACAATTACACCCCAGAAGGGCTGCTGTTGGAAAATCTGCAGACTAAAAAAAACTTTCTGTAATATAGTAATGTCCTTAACCTTTGTACTGGCTCAGCAACAAGCTTTTTTGTGAATTCTTCAAATGCTGAATCAACTTGTACAGAATAGGCTCTAAACAAATCCTTGCAGGGGTTGATTGGCTCTAGCCTTTGCTTTCTCCCAGGATTGAGTCTTTTCCTCCTAGACCATGGCTGCAAGTCATATGCCTGCCACTAGAGGACAGGCGAGCCCTAGGAAGCTCAATTCCTAGTTCAGAACTTGTATTTTTCTTTTTTCCAATTTTAATTTACTTTTACAATTCAATTAACTTCATTCAAGTATACATGTTTTCTTAAGTCTGTCTTTGTGTACAAAGTCTTGTGCCACGAGATGGGAAAGACGCTGTTCCTGCCCCCAGGTGTTCCCAGTCAAGAAACAAGCCATCTACTGAAGACACTTCATTCATTCCTTCTTTCCTTCACTCATTCATTCACTCAATGAGCAGAGTGTTGAATGTTCTGTTTTCTGCACTATCCTAGGCATTGGACTGTGATGTGTCCTTCAAATAAAACACTAATGGTGCCTTGGGCGTCTGGGTAAGAAGAAGTACAGGCAGTGAAGGTGTGAGGGTTATGTCCTTGGACTTAACCTTGAGCATGTGGCAGGCAGAGGTGGAGGGAGGGCCTGTCTGTGATTCAACCACATGAGCTGACTTAGGAAGTGAAGCTGGACAAGTGAGAGGTGAGTGAAGCAACAGTCCATGAAGGATTAATGCCAGATGAAGCACTTGGACATGTTGTCCCTATGATGGGGGCATGGAAGGGACTTCAGTGCACAGGGGAGGGGATTCAGGAGACAGAGAAGTGCAGGTGTGGGGACTGATGAATGTCAAGGAGGGACATTTCTGCAGTAGGACAGAAAGGCTACAGAAGCTGGTGGACTGAAGAGACAACGGAGTGGCAGGAGTCTGGACCATGGATTGGGAAGTAGGTGGTGCAACTGGTTGAATGTCGCTAATCCCTGGTTGCCCCTGCAGCTTCCTCATTGCCAGTTGGATTTCCTTACACAAACCTGTCTCTCCTTCTCTGTGAGGATGAAGATCCTGACATCCCCCTATATAGTGAGGACCTAAGAGTATGACCCACCCCACTCCATATCACACCCTGACCTGGCCCCCTCATTGTGAAATTAGTAACTGGTTGTGGTAGGAGAAAACAAATTAATAACTTTTCAATCATTCATTTGACTTCACTTGGTGGGTTAGGGCAATAACCTTCCCCTCTTAGGATTTCATGCCTCCTACAGAAGTAGGAGTTAGAAACTATGCCTAATACAGAGATAGGGTTTGTCAAAGTTCAAGTACAGAATGTGAAGCAAGACCAGAGGGATAGAAGTGGGCGTGTCCTAAAAACAAAGGGGAATGGATTGAGTCACATCAAATGCCCTGTTTCTTAGCAAGGACTCAGCAGCCAATGGCTGCCCAGCTGAAAACAGGGTTTAAGGCCAGTTCTCATGTCATTTCTCCTCCCTGGCACAGGAACTGCATTGGGAAGAATTTTGCCATGAAGGAGCTGAAGGTGGCCGTGGCATTGACCCTGCTTCGCTTTGAGCTGGCGGTGGATCTATTTAGAGTCCCCATCCCAGTATCAAAAGTTGTTCTGAGTTCCAAGAATGGAATCCACCTGCAGCTCAGAAAGCTCCACTAATCCATTTTGGGACAAGAGCAAGCTCTGAGGATCTCCTTCCTGCCATCCTGTCTCCCTGTTACATGATGCCATCCTCTGGGTTTCTAACCAAGTCCTGCTTCTCACATGCCATTCTCCATCACCTCCCCCTCTGGTCCTCTGTCTGCCCCTCCAATCTGCCATTTTCACTTTCTTCCTGCTTGTCTTCCCTGTATAGTTCCCTTTACATGCTATAATAAATTACCGTAACCTCAGTGACAGAACACACCACAAATCTTCTCTTAGCATCTGGATTCATAAGTCTGAAGTGTGTTTCACAGGATCACCTCGAGGTGTTGGTAGGGCCACACCACCTACAGGGCTCAAGGAGACAACCCCTGTGTTGGTCATTCCAGCATCTAGAGCTGCCTTATTACATCCCTTGTCTCCTGGAGCCTTCTTCTGTACACAAATCCAGCAGCACCTCCGATGTCCTTTCTGCTTCTGTCTTCACATTGCCTTCTCTCTTATGAGGACACTTGTGACTACATGGACTCACTCAGATAAGAGGACATAGTTACATCTTGTAGGGATTAGACACTGGACATCTTTTGAGCTGTCTTTCTGCCTAATGGGTCCCTAGTGACTGCCATCAGCCATGTTCCCAGTTCCCTTCTGTGGGTTTCCTGTACACCCATTTATCAATCTCATACCCTCTCCTTCTATCTCCCTTCCCAGAATACAGCTCACACTGTCATTCCTTGGGAGGAGCTGGATGGAGAGCAGCAAGAAAGATAGGGTTGGGGAAAGAGACAAGACTAAGCAGGGAGATAATATCTGCTCTGAGGTGCCAAAACCCATCACCTCAGAGCCCAGAGAGGGGATAGCTGTCCAGGAGGGATTGGGGAAGCCCAGGTGGGCAGACATGTGTGTCCTATCAGAGAGGATGCCAGCAAACAGCTGGCAATGCCTTTCCCCCAGGACAGGCCCTACATCTCTGCTCAGCTGCCTTCAAGGCAGAGGGGCTTCTTCACCCCTGCCACATTTGGTGACCAAGTGGGTCATGGTCCTCTGACTCTGGGCTCTGTTCCTTTTGTGTTCCTCCATCAGCCTGTCTCAGCCCAGCCCTGTTCTCTTGCTGGTTCCAAACACTGGTTCTCCTCCTGTCCAACCCTAGCCATTCCTAACCTAGGGCCCTGGATGCATACACAGACCTCTCCAGGCACCCTCTGCCTGTGGTGGAGGCACCGACTCTGCCTCCCCAAAGTGCTTCTCTCTGACTCTGTCCCTGCAGCCAGGATCTCCCACCCCAGTCCCCTGGCCTCCTGGGTCACTGGGGTAGTTCAGCCCTGCTTTAAGGAGGAGCATGGTGAGCACCAAGTGCTTGACAGAGATATAGAGCAGGAAAGGGAACTGGGAGCATCCTGAGTAGGATGTTTGGCAGGTCCCCTGACATGAGGTGGTGCAGAAGGGCTCAGTGACCATGATCAGAGAGCACAGGACAATGGGAACTTGGAAATCTGGGTGGTCAGCCACGTTGACTTACTCTAACCACAGCATTCCTAGGTTAGAGTAGCCAGTTGTTCAGCCATTTGACGTACTCTAACCACAGCATTCCAAGGCAGTGAGAAGGACCAGGGAGATTCCCTACTGGCTCCCAGCAATAAGAAAAACCCAGGCTGAGTCCAGGTTCACATACACAGATGCCTGACGCTTACATAGACACACTCCTGGGCAGTTACTCCTGTGTGTGCCCTTGTACACTGTAACAAGGTAAATGGAGAAACCAGGACTCCGTCTCCAGAAACAGAGGAGGGGTGGAGTTGCAGACCCTTGTTTTCCCCTGGCAACTAGGGAGTTACATGCAACTGTTTGCAGGAGATTCACTTTATAAAGGGGCAGGATGCAGAAATCAACCTCCTCCTTTGATATCCCCTCTTCTTGGAAAAGTAGGAAGTCCTGGACCTGGACCTTAGGGGCTGTAGAAGGGCAAGGGATGAGGTGCCGCCTGTTAGGAGCAGGACCCTGAACTCTCAGCTTCAACATTTAAAACTCATTACAACACAGCACAGTTCTGTTAAGGGCAGACCCCTAGCCTCCCAAACCAACTCGCTCCCCCTCCTTATCACAGGCCTCAGGCTCACCACCAGTCCTGTGGTGGGGGAGGTGGGTGGGGAGGTGACCAGTGCCTGGCAAGGGTTGCCAGTGCAAGCCCTTCCAGTGGCGGCAGGAAGAGCACAGGCACACCAGGAGTAGGAAACCTGGGTGCACACACTCCAAAAGATGCCTGAAGCGAAACAGGGACTACACAGCAGCTAACCCACCTACATTTATCATGCTTTCGGATGGGGGAAGAGGTTCCTGGCACAACCAAAAACTGAGCTGGCAGAGGGTGACAAGATTTTTCTTAGCGTGTCTTAGAACAAAGTTAGTATTCCTTCTTTAGTCATACATAGCTTCTTCTTGAGTTATTTTTTGTTCTTGTGTGTATGTGGTATTGCTGTGACAAATATTTAAATAGCCTTTCTTGATTGTTAAATTAAAAATTTCTTTCTTTTCCACCAAACCCTGTGTTTAGAGTTTTGCCTCACAGGCAGCGAGCAGAAGGACCCACGCCACCAGTCGGGTAACAACACCACACTGTACCACACACATGCACCAGAGCTCAGGATCAGAGGACACAGCAGGGTGTGCTAGAGAGCTGGAAGCATGAGGTGGACTCATCTCTGGTGCTCTCAGGTCCCCAGCCTCTGCCCTCCCCTCCCACGTGGAGCCTCCCCTTTCCCTCAGGCTCCAGAGCTCTCAGCTCTGTTTCTCACCAACAGGAGTCCTCAAACAGAATCAGTACTACCTGTGGAGCCTTGGTCAAAAGGGCCCAGAATCAGGAGCTCACTCAGGCTCCTCCCTGATGAGCATCTTGGCAGGTTCCTTCCCTTAATATTGAAGAGGGATGATGGCCTCATCCTATCCTGACTCACAGGCCTCCTGACAGTCCAAAAAGGAGACTTGGGGGCACCACCCATGGACTAAACTTAGTTGTGACCACTGGACTCAGTTCCCAGGTAAGAGCTATTGAATCATTTTTTTCAGTTGTGTAGAGAGAGGTCTGTCCGGGGCCAGGACATAGGAGAATGTTGCTGGCATGGTGAACACTCTGACTAAGGTTTTCAAATCCCAGACTTAGGTGCACAGTGAGTTGTAGGTCTTAACAGGACTTTGCAAGAGTGAGCAGGGGCTCAGGGCCCAGCTTCCAGGGCTGTGGAATCAATAGGAAGAACATGTCTGAAGGTGGTCCCTCCTCAGAGCAACATAGAAAGGTCCCCATTAGATAAGAGGCCTGAATTCTCCTCTCTTGTCCCTCCCCTGGTGTCAGGTGCCCTCCCTCCATACCTGTCTCATTCCTGGATTGCAGCTCACCAATGGCCTTAGACCTTCGTTGGGGACCCCTCTATGTGGTTTCCAAGATTGCACACTTGCAAGAGCGAGCCCTGAAAGGGGCTAGTAAGTCTCCCTGGAAAACCAGGTAAAAATGCAGGTGGCACACAAAAAGTGACTCTGACACCGAAGGTCCCTGTGGGTTCAGACCTGATAAATACATTGTATCCTATGAGGCTTATTCTGTTTTGTATAGCCCTGTAGATGCAAACCAGATGTTTAAGTTCAAGGCATAAGCAGTAAACTCCTTATCTCATGAAATACTTCCTAAAGACCCTCTGGGTGTGGTGGGCTGGCAGGGGAAAAGCAGAAAACCATATTTAAACAACAAAAATTTGAATCATTAAGTAATCAATCAATTAATTTTTTTTAAAAGACGCTCTATTGTCAGCATGACTAGCAGACCCTGACCTATGACAGATCTCTGTTCCTTCTGTCTTTATCTATAGATAATACCCATTTTTTGGCTATAGCCTTTTGATGTTGATTTATGAGCTATCCATGTATGCTGTATACCATTCCCAATAAAAGCCATTTGGGAGAAGGGCTAGGAGCATTCCCCACTAGAGGGAATTGCTGCCCATTTTCCCACCAGAAAAGCAAGATTGTGTCCAGCACAATGTAGTCACCGCCTGTGGTGGACTGGAGGATTCTGCAAGATGCAGTTCCTCCCACAGACCTTGAACCCTATTGGTACATGTACCCACCAAAGAAATGCTGTGGAGACAACCGGGGAAGGACCCCTGATTCATCATGTGGGCCTAAAATGAAGTTCACCCCCAAACTCCTTCTTTGCACCTCATACCACACCCTGCCTCAAGGCCTGATTCAGGCACCACCCTCCCCTAAAGGTGCTGTCTAGTGTCATTCTGCCACCTTCACCAGCCAAAGCCCATACACCCAGGACACTGGGTGACTCTGACACAGAGATGGAGAGTGGCAGTAGTAACACAGAGTCCCATCACAGGAGGGTAGAAATAATACCTGTGAGTCCATATTCCATATTGCTTTACCTTGACAGTGCTTAACTGGGTGTGTGCTTTAGAAATTCATTGTTCTGAACACTTTTGCTTTAGGCAAATATTCCTTATGCTACTTTCCAAACACATATGCAAAGTTAAACCCAGACACCCATCTCCGTGAATGGCCAAGCCCCAAAGCCAACCCCTGTCATGTGGACTGGGGGAGTGCCTGGCCATAACCAGGAATCTCAGGGCACAGCTTCCATTGTGTTTACTGTATCACCCAGACTGGAGTGTAAGTTCCTGCTACATTTTAGAAAGATTGCCCATTACAAAAAGAAAAGGAAGAGACTAGAAGCAAGTGGGTTCTCACCACATGTTTGCTGAGTGAATGAGTCAGCTTCAGGAAACATGCATAGTAAGCATTCATAGACACACCTGGTTTCTGGCACCATCCTCGAGGTGACTGTCTAGGGGATACCAGCTCCCCTTCTACAATACAAGCCCCCCAAGGACAGGAGCCACGGCTGCTCCACAACCCAGCCTGGAGGTGGCAGTGCCCAGGGAAAGGCCACAGCCTGATCTGTCTGGGGCCCTACTCTTGGCAGAGCTACTTCCCAGAACCTGGGCAGAGTGGCCTCAGGTGAAGGTAGATGCCATTCTGGGAGCGCAGGACCAACTGTAGCTTCTTGATGGGTGGCCGCAAAGGGTCCAGGGCAAACTCAAAGCGGAGCAAGCAGAGGGCCGTGACCACCTTCATCTCGTTCATAGCAAACTGCTGCCCGATGCAGTTCCTGCAGTGAGCAACACAAAGAGGCATCAGGAATGGGGTTCTGAAGTGGTGAAATCCAGTGCTCTCAGTGGCCAACAGAAATCAATAACTATTTTTGCATGACTGATTGACTGATGGATTGATCAACCTAGGCTTTAGAAACAGATCATAAGGTAGGGTCCCAGACTACTGGTAAGTAGATTCCCATTGAGGATTCTGGCTTGGGGTCTCTCTTGCAATGACTCAGCCACCCCTCCCCCTGCTAGCAACATGAATATGCTAATGGCAAGAAGAAAGTCCTTGGAACTTACCCTGTGTTAGAATCAGCACAACCCAGCATGGCCCCCCTCATCACAGTTCCCCAAAGTGATGCCTCCCCCAAGACATCCTCCACCCCACTTCCTCAGTCCTGAGGGACTGGACATGTGGGGCTTCTCCTTACCTGGGCCCAGCAGAGAAGGGTATGAAGGCAAAGGGGTGGCGTCCTGCCACATTCTCAGGGGAAAAGCGCAAGGGGTCAAAGACCTGAGGGGACAGGCCAGGCTTAAATACACACCAGGCACAGAGGGAGGCTGACCCCCCACGCCTCCCTCTCCCTCTGACCTCCAGCCTCAGGAGTGGGATACCTCAGGGTCAGGCCACACTGCGCTGTTCCTATGGAGGGCATAGATGTGCAAAGAGACCAGGCTTCCTGTGGGCAGAGCAGAGCGAAGGTGACCAGGTGGTCCTGGGCAGCCAGGCCCACCTCCTCACAAGGCCTGGGTCCTGTCGTGTCTGCCTAACTAGACACCAGCCTCTGCCTTAGCACAGCTAGTGACAGAGGTTCATGAAAACCCTAAAAACACCAAGTGCTTTTGCTTATCATCATGCCTACTTCCTGTAGGTCAACACTGGGCACAGCATCAGACACAGACATTTGTGGAATGGAACAAAAAGGGACTGAACCCACAGCCACCAGAAGGCAGGACACAAGGACCATTACACGCTTTTGGCTCTCAATGAATTGACTGTTAAAAGAAGTTATTCATAACATTATTCTATCAATAGTGACAGCTACCAGTCATTGCATGTGGCCCATGTGCCAGATATGGAGTTGAACTTTCTTTATGAAGCTCCCTCATGGAGTTGCACAGGTTGGCGCTGCACACATCATAGTCTAGGTGAATGATGCCTCCCGTGGTTGTTCAGGCAACAACTTGCATGGTGATACAAGACATCCCTGATAATTTACTCCAGGAAGCAACCTTGTAAGGCAGGTCTTTCCTCAGACCCATTTTAAAGAAAAGGAAAAAGAATTTAGTGGTAGAGGGGTTTACCCATGTTATAGAGCCAGGATTGGACCCAGGCCAGCACCAAGCATGAGTTCTTTGCCATGGATGCAAAGACTCAGACAAAGGCACAGAGAGTGTCAGAGAAACATCCTCAAAGACCCCAGTTCCAGCCCCAAATGCATCCTCTCCCACCTGCAGGTAGAGAGCGGCCATCCACAAACGTGACAGGCTTGCTGAGCTGGCGGTACACCTGAAGCACAGGCGGGTAGAGGCGGAGGCTCTCCTTGATGCACATGGTCAAGTAGGTCATCTTGGCCAGATCACCCCTGCCAGTAACACAACCAGCCTTTTCTGAAAATGGGTAGCAAACAGGTACTGCAGGAAGACAGGCTCCAGCCCCCACTTCCCCTTCACCACCATCACACACCCAAGGCTCACAGAAACACAAATGCACCAGGTGCTCAGGAGACTGGCCTAGGGTGGCCACTTGGACCAGGGACTCTGACTCCACTTTTCTCCATCCTTTCCCCATCCTCACTGCTAGGAAGGGAAAGCACAGGACCTTAGATGTGTAAGTGCAACCAGCCATCAGAGACAAGGTCACTCCTGTGTCTCTGAGAGCCCCAGAGAAGCCCCACAAGAGACAGTTCTTTAGTGTCTGTTAGGTTTCCTTTGTGGAGCTGGAATGGAAAGAAACAGGGGCTAGTAGTCATTTATTACTGCTGATTGCAGTAATAAATGCATGAGCAATGACAAGCTCTGGTAAATATATATATGTTTGTTTGTTTATGTACTTATATATTTCTTCTCTGTTCTTATTTGCCACTAGGAAGTTCAGACCCCAATGTGAGGTGCAACTATAACTACTGGGCAATACCTTAATCCATAGCCCCTAGATTTGTCCTAAGGTCTTCTTCATTTTTCATGTTGGTTTATTGTTTTATGGAATAAGTATTCATTAAGATACTTCACATTCTAGGTAAAATGAAGTAAAAATAAAAAATTCAACTCCCTGCATCCAGGCTCTGTTCAAATTATTACCCAACCTAGAATGTCTAGCTCTCTCTCTCTTCACATGACTTTCACCTCTCCTTAGAAAGCCAACTTAATCCCCACCTCTTCTGATGTCT